GAGGTTAATGCTCAAGCAAATTCAATTTTCCCCACTATCATATTGGGCTAGAAATACTGTTGTGAGTTATAAAAGGAAATTGGCTACTCTATAAATTGCTGTACGGATCCTTAGCCATTGCGGGAAACAGCTTACCCAGCACTAAGACCAGAGGCAAGGTGCTCATAATGTTGTAAGATCCACTGAAGTGTGTGTCTCTCTAAACTTTTCTATAGGTGAGCATTCTCATGGCCCATGTGCAGGCTGGATTTTTTTTTTGCTGACTCAGGACTTTATTGTTGAAGTTCACATATTTATGGGTACAGCAGGTACATATATCTTGTGGAGGTTGCAATTAGACCGTAAACTTTTGATTGGCTAGTTGATGAGTTTTATCAACTGGGGCCGCAGTGGTGCAACGGGTTAAAACACTGAGCTGCTGAACTTGTTGACTGGAAGGTTGGTGGTTCGAATGGGGTGATCTCCCACTGTTAGCCCCAGCTTATGCCAACCGAACAACTTGAAAACATGACAATGTGAGTAGATCAATAGGTACCACCTAGGTGGGGAGGTAAATGGCGCTCCATGCAGTCATGCCAGCCACATGACCTAGGAGGTGGCTACAGACAATGCAGTCTCTTCAGTTTAGAAATTGAGATGAACACCACCCCCAGAACTGGAGATGAGCATCACCATTCAGAGCCAGAAGGGGAAGTCTTTACCTTTATTTGTGTTTCATTGTTTCTAGGCATTGAATATTTGCCTTTGCATTTGTGTTTGCTAGAATCCCCCCTGAGTCCCCTCAGGGAGATAGGGTGAAATACAATTATTATTATTATTATTATTATTATTATTATTATTATTATTATTACTACTACTACTACTACTACTACAAGAACCAATTTTCTGGCGTGTTTGACCTGCTGGGACTTTAGAGCCCTCTCTTTAGTTTCTTTAAAAAAAAAAAAGATATAGCTAACTAATTGTAAGTCTGAAATAATCTATCACTAAATTTAGATTTATCATAGGCAGATCTTATATTTTTGCAGTAATACAATATAATAAAAGATGTACATATGAAACAATCTAAACACAAAATGGGTACGTCAGAATGAAATAAAATTCCTCAGCCCTTCCCTTTGTATACTTTTAATATATCCATCAATTTAAAAAATTTTCTAATTATGCCCTAATTAGAAAATAGTAACTTAAGTCCTGCTTACAAACCAGAATATGAAACCAGGGGTTTAGAACAAGCATAGATAGAAATGGCTCATTTGCGGTCTGATACACCTTGGTTATTAGATCAACATCGCTATGCCTTAACATGGTTTTGGTTTGAATATCTGTCATGGGCATTGATCTGTGCATCCAAGAGCACTCTGTGGTCTTGCCAGAATGAGTCAATGCACTCAACCCACCACCCTCAGCCTTAATCTGTATGACAAGAATGTCGAGCTTCATTTGAACAATTCTTCCATAGTTTTGCTACATATTTTAGAAGATCCCAAAGCAAAGAATTCTAACAAAAGAACTCTGACTTGAACACCAAAAATAGAGGAAAAGATCTTCAGAATCGTCATAACAGCTCCCAACAATAAAAGTTTTCATTCTTTTCTCTTGACAATTGAAATGATGTGTTCCTTTCATTTTTGTAAGGATTGTATTGAAATACAGAAATGGTGAATACCTTGTCTAATAACTGTTCTACGCCTCTTTACTATGGAGGTGGGGCGGGGAGTCTTATCTGCTAGAGATCACTTCCTGTACGATATGGATTCCCAACGGCCTTGTACTCAGCAGGCAGGCACACCTCCTTTGACAACCATCTAGACATTTTCCTATCCTGTGTCCCGAGATTTCTTTTTACAGTTATTTTGTGTAGTAGAGGAATATTTTGAAAGAGGAAGTAGAATAATAGGGCTAAAGAAGGACAGTAAAAATCCAAGTTAAAAATGAATACTATTTCTCAATTTGAAAGTGTTGCAATGGAAATAAAATCTGATAGTGTCCCTATAGCTGCATTTTCCTGAATTTTTCAGTACACCATACACTACTTCATGAGCTTATATTGATTCATTGTTGTAATGTGTTGAAATGTAAAAATCAGTAAATTTTCTAACTTTTTTGCGGGGGACGGGACGACTTTCATGGTCAAAAATGGATCTTGCTGGTTACTGAAAATACTAGTTGCTTTAAGTGTTCTTAAATGTTCATACTATAGTCCAGAGTGGGATACCTTTTGAGCATGATGGCTGACTCACTCTATTGCTATCTTAGATCTGTGTATTTATTGTAAACCATCTCCTTTGCTTTACCTTCTAATCCAATTCATAGACCATTTTTCCTTTCTCCATAGTAACATAGGTTCTTTGTTAGTGCATACAGCTTTGTGTACTATTCTTATAACATCTTTAATCATTATTTGTAAGGAGAAGAATGTGTGTTTAGAGTTGGCAAGACTATGATGTTGAATATACTAAATGCTTGAATGATTGTAGAAAGTGGGGAGATCCAAATTGAAAATATACATATTATGGACCACTAAGACATATGAGAGATGTAAGCAAGTCTGACAAGTGCTTATAGAAAACTCTTAATGAGTTTGTGATTGAATCAAATTCACTGTAAGCAAGCTAATGGTTTTTCAATGCCGCTTCCTTTTCTAAGAGTCCTTTTTCATTGCAGACCCTTTCAGTCCATATTAGGTTTCTTCAGGTTTATGGCATCAATACGAATAATTTTTGACTAAGATGTCTCTCAGATAAGAGAGGTCACTTCCTTAATAAGAAGCACTGCTTGTTTATGTTATAAGGGATATGATTATATGCTGTAGGCGTCAATGAATCAACGGCAGATGCTAAAATTTAAAATGAATAGTGGTTTGAAATCCTTGACTATTTCAGAGGTAACAGCAGACCGAGGCAGGCTAAGGATGTGCTTGCCAGTTGGGCATGATTGTATATGCATCCATTTGTATTAGGGGCCAGAAATTGTGATATGTGTGCAAGTGCAGATTCCTTCACCTCCACCCCACACTGTGGGCTACACCATCCCATTTTCTGCCAAAAATTTAACCGAAAGTTATCTACACATTTTTTTAGAGATTTTTCATTGTAGGTGCTGATTGATGGCTTACTTTAATGTAAACTGCCAGTCCGGAGACCCTAACAAGCAGTGGTTCACAGGTGCAGATTTACAAAGAGAAATTTGCATAAAAGTATGCAGGGATGTGCAGGGATGGGAGTGGAGAGACAGAACAGCTCTGGGAACTATATTCTGCTGATATACAGGGGACCATCAGCTATAGCATAAAATCTTGTAAATTATCAGGAATTCCTTAAAAAACAAATAGTTCACAGGCTGGAGGATGATAATGCAAAGGAGAAGGCAAATTATCTTTCCTGTTCAGCAATTTAGTAATGTACTGCAGCCCTAAGTCACATCAGGTTTTGTGTCTTAAAACAGCAACTTTGAAGTTTAAGGAGTGCCTTATTGGGCACTGTTATTACAGCTGATGTGCCACATTTATGGGTTTCACTTTTGTGCATTTGATTATTCACAAATTTGATTTATATGCTTCCTCTAGAAATCTCTAGATCTTACAGTGTGACTTCTGCCATAGAGTTGAGCTGGAAGACCCAGAGATTTCTAGAAAGGTGAAAATAGATTTTTTTTATTCATGATTTTTACTTCTAATCCTAGCAGGTGTGAAGAGTCGACTGTCGTGTCTTTTAGAAGGCTTGCAATGTACCTAAATCTAAACATAACCCTTTTAATGTGAGCTGAAACCTTTTGATTCACTCTGCTTGAGGCATTCTGAGTATCCATTTAGTCTGCAACAATAACATCAGTCAATTAATCAAGTTTCTTTAGCATCTAAATTCGGATTGTAGTAATAACAAAACCAAAAACCCTACAGGAAATCACTATCTATAGGGGCAGATGGGGCAAAAACCAATCTAGCAACACTTGGTAGAAAATATATTTGAAAGTTTCACAGATTAGTCACCAGACTTAATCTCTTATGAAAACTGAAGACTGTTCATGGACTGACCAAAGGCAGTGCTTGGGAAGTTGCTTTTAAGAAGAATCAATCTGATAACATGTGGAAGCCATTTATAGCTGGATATTAGTAAAATGATGCATCCCAGGACATCTTCCTATTGCTCTCTAGTTATAGAATCCTTTAATAGTTATTTCGAGATTTTTTTCCCCCCTTAAAACAGCTGTCTAAACTATTGCCAGGATCCTAATGTCTTAGATTAGGGGAAACTCCAGTTCTTTCACTTGATACTGTTGTAGTGCACCAAGAAAATCCTGACCATTATATTTGAAGTTAGAAGCTAATGAAATATTAACACCAGACCTGTGATTGAGCTAAAAGATCATTTCAGTTTGCATTAGCAGGTGTTAAATAAACTTACTTCACAGGAAATCTCCAAGATTTGATTTAGAAGTATTAGGGATTTGTCTTTTTTCTCCTATTTTTTATGCTGATAATATCTATATTCAATTGAGTCTATATAATATTTCAGTGTTTTAGCACTTTATAAATATAGGTGTGTGTGTGTGTTGAAGATATTATTCTGATGGTAATTAATTATTCTTTAGGAAGAAATACTGTTGCAATTATTTTAAAGTTCAACCATATTTTTCCTGGACTAATTGTAAAGATCAGACTCTGGAATATGCTGATTCTTTTGGCATGAATAATAATTGAACGATCTGCCAATTTTTCTTTCGGTTGCTTGTTTCTGACCAGATTTGTTTCACTCTTTGAGTATGCCAGTAACCAAGATGACACTTTTCTACTCAACTTTTGTATGTGCCAAACTCATAAAGTGCTTTCCAAGGTACAAGTGGGGATAATGCTAAATGTAAACAGATGTTCATAAACATGTGCTTTCACAGGTTATGTGGAAAACTTTACCAGTCTCCTTAAGTACATTTAAAGAAACATTACACTTCCTGTTCTGATATTGTTATGTGAGTACATTTAATAATGTTTTGTTTTGTAGGATGGCCGACTGCGAAAAAATGATCAACTTATCGCAGTGAATGGAGAGTCTCTGCTTGGAAAATCAAACCATGAAGCCATGGAGACTTTGAGGCGTTCAATGTCTATGGAAGGAAATATTCGTGGAATGATCCAGCTAGTGGTTCTCAGGAGGCTGGACAGACAGGCTGAAGTGGTATAAAAAACATTCATCCCCATTAATTTCTCAAAGCCTGTTTTCATAATTATTTAGCCATTGTTGTGAGGAGTTCATATACTTGGCATTGTTACTTCATTCATTCCGAAGCTCCATTTAAGCATTGATTGCACAAAACCTTGAGATTTGCATAATGTTCTTATTGCAAGAGCAGATGGTCAGTGGTGGTGACTCTCATTTTCCCCATTTGAAAAAAAAAGTATTCTATAAATAACTTTACAGTATATTGGAAACATTACAAGTTTCAACTGCTGCCTGGTAAGTTAGAAATAAGCCAGTACATCAGACTTCTTCAAGCAACATTTTTCAGTTCAGGTGGTCATTTCAACTAGTAATTTTAAATTTTACTAGTTCATTTGTTTCAACAAATACTTCATAAGCAGTAGATCTGATAAATTATTCATACATTCCACAGATGAAATTGCATTGTTAGAATCAAAATTTTTTATTATTATATTTGTGTAAATGCTAAAAGCTTGACTACAGTTAGTTGAACAACTAACTGAAGGTTTTATTCGAAGACGAACCAAATTGTTCTGTCTTTTCCCTCTTCTGTGAATACCTGGTTACTATTCTATAAACATTTTTTGCTAGTCAAGAACTAGGACTGTTTCTCATACTGTATTAACTATTCTCTTTCCATGGTTTGGCTGTCAAAACAAGGTAGGAAGTATTCCTTTCTAGAATACTTCTGCTCTGCCTTTAGCAGATGACCCAAACTCAATCCTTCTCATCCCATATTCCTACACATGTCACACAAAATTTGCTAGTCTTACTTCTTAACCTTTTCATCCCATCCAACCTGAGAAAGAGCCCTTCATTCCAAGCTTTCATCCTGCATTCTCTTGGGATTTTGAAGAAATTTGCACCAGCTCCAAAAACTGACCTGTCAGAAACCTTCCTATTGAACACTCAATCATCTTGCATTGCCTCTGATGTAAATTCGTTCCTATTTTGACTGGCAAACCGTCAGAGCTGTGAATTAGTATGAAATCTTAAAGTAGACAGTGAACTATTTACATGTAGATTTTTTTGATCTTCAAACATTACACTCCCAAATCAACTAAAGTTGGCATCCATCATTTTGAAGACCAGTCACTGACATTTCCTTCACTGACACTTTCCACTCATCTATACAGAGAACAGATATTATTTCTATGAAATACATAGAAATCTATATTAGGCATGTAAGTCTTCAACTAGTTTTTCCTCACACATATGAGGGTGAACGATTTGTGGCAGGTTTCCCCCCACTCCAGGAGAAAATTCATATTCCTCGCAATATTCTCCCATATTCAAAATGTTTTAGAGGATTTATTCTATGAAGAAAGACTCATTATCTTCTCTGTGGAATGCCTATTTTCTCCCCAGAAAACACTGCTTCATTTGGCAGAAATGCACACACACACACACAAATCATCTGTTTTTTCTTTACAGAATAATTATTCTGAAATATTTTGGTAGAATTGTGTAAAATTATTGCTGGTTTGTCGTTTTTCTCCATGGCAGTTACTAATTGTCAATATTTCAACCTAAGCCTGAATACAATTTGAGCCTCTGTTATCAGGAATGTGAAATCCAAAGTACATCAACATCTCTCTTTATCTTTCTCTCTGTATAAACATACATAGATACATACATACACAAACACACACACTTATGCACAAATCTGAAGAAAATGTGATATCCAAAACTCTTCTGTAACCTAGCATTTTGGATAAGGGATGCTCAATTTGTACTTGTGAATACAGTTACTATATCATTCTAACCCAGGAGTCTGTTTAACAACTATGGGAAAACTATGAAGTTAGGAAATTATGATGCGACACTTTATAGGCTTTTAATCTGTATTACTGTTTTAATTGTTTTATAATTTTATATGGTATGTTTATTGTTAGGTGCACAATGGGGTATTTAATTTTTGCTGTAGTTTGTAAGCCGCCCTGAGTCCCTTTCGGGGTGAGAAGGGTGGGTTATAAATATAGTAAATAAATAAAATAATAAATAATATATCCATTCCTAAATCAAATATACTTCAGCCATCTTAAGCATCTCTCCACAGACAGACCTTGCTTTGGTTGTACTTTCCTGTGGACAACCCTGGAGAACAATACAACACTGCATGCCAGGAAGACAATAACATGGCCCATTGGTCTGATTTTGGATTCTTTGGGACATGGATGGTTGGATTGGAGATCCCACCACTAGTTCCTTGGTTGTGGGAGAACTTCAGAACATGTATGTGCTGTGACTCTTGCAAGATATGCACAGTGTTCATGTTCACAAGCCTGCCATTTGCATTCTGTCAGAGTAAAATATCAAGAAATACCAAGTAAGAGAAATAATTGTCTCCTACTTTTTTTTGGGGGGGGGGGGGTAAATAATTATCCAATTTTTTTTCCCAAATCAGTTGATTTTCTGAATGGTCAGTGCTCTTCGCCATTATGTTTTTCAAATTAGGTTTTCCAACATCCAATTCTACATCAGATATTTACTTCAAATCCTATACCCAAAACTTCCTTCCACTTCTGTATCACTCAGAGGTATGAAATGCACATGCCCTGTCAAGAATGCCCAATGAATTCTTGATTGAATAAAGCTCATTTTAAACAGAAATTAATTTTATAGGATGTGCTTGCAGTTCAATTCTAATTGTATTTGGGACTGAAGACTGTAGCAAAAAGGGCCCTGACCCATTTCCCCCCGTACCTGAACTACTTCCTTCCCTGCTGCATTCCAGCTTGGTATAGCAGGATATGTTTAAAAATCCATTATTTTTGTATTGGCTGGGACACTAATGGAACCTTTTCATGACAGCTCTGTTGCACTAACAGAATACTGTAATTAGGCAGCATACTGATCAGTTGTTAAGCTATTGATTCTGCTGTTTATCAAAGAGCTGGAAAAGCAGATTCTGCCCCCCCCCCCCCGCCCCCTACTCTTGATTTAAAGCTGACTCTCCCACTTGGTACCTGTGTTTAATAGTAGCTTGCTTGCTCTTTTGATTTATTTAGAACCATATACAAGAGCAGCAGATTGTAACACAAAAGATACATATTAATTTGTAACAGCAATGGAGGCTGTGTTGCAAAGTGAACCTGAACTGATTAAAAAGTGCATTCTCTTACTCATAAAAAGAAGATTGAGGTATCAGTTAGATTGTTGTTTTAGCAGTGTTGTTAGTTCAAACCTGCAGTGAAGTGTTTTAATCTATCCAATTTTTCCTGAAACTAAAATCAGAGTTGTTTTAGCCCCCAAAAAGGGGAGGTTGAAGGACAGGAAAGGTGGAAAAACATCTCACTAATCCTCTTTCCTCTAGCACTTTATCTGCAATGTTGGATATGGGAGCATTGGTAATTTCGTTGCTATGTAATTGATCTGACAGGAGTAATAATAATAATCTATATAAATAAAAATGTAATGTTCGTTTGTGGGATTAACATAACTCAAAAACCACTGGGTGAATTGACACCAAATTTGGACACGATACACCTGTTAGGCCAACAAGTGACCATCACTTATAAAAAACAACAGAAGAGACTTAAAAAACCATAAAAAAGTTTACAACGCATGTCCAAAACCACATATACACACACAAAACACACATACACAGACTGGGCCACAGCAATGCGTGGCAGGGGATGGCTAGTAATAATAATTTTATTTCTTACCTGCCTCTCTTCATGGTTCAAGGCAGGTCATAGCAATCAAAACACACAAACATTGCAAAAATTCCACAAATACACATATTAAAATTTAGTTCTATAAAAGATACATATTAAAATGTATTTTTATAAAATACATATTAAATACACAGGACAGAGATTAAAACATGGAACATGAGTTTAAAATTGATGCTTAAAACTGGCTGGGTAGACCTGATGGAAATGTTAGGTCTTTAAATGGCTTTTGAATTCTGACAGCTCCGACAGTAGTGTCTGAAGAGTGAGAAAAAGAAAAATAGTGGTATTTCCTTTACTTCTTTTGAGATTGGTGGTTTAATCTCATTATACTAACTCTTCCCCTCACCACCAGGGAATGCACTATAAATGGTTACAGACAGACTATTCTCCTCTTTTTGTTTTTTCTTTGCAACTTTTTTCAAAATGACCATCATTTTACAGTGGAAATGCTACTGTTCCCTGTTTTAGCTGGGTTGTATGTAGGGGTAATGTGTCCTCATGGAAGTCTAGAGATGTAAAGTATGGAGGGAAAATGAAAAAATAAGCAGAATTTCCTCCCCATAATATATCCATATAGATATGTTGAGACAACCTGTTGAGAAATCAATAGTCGCCATGAGATGTCTCACTTCCAGTGCAAGAACAGGACAAGTGTTGTTTTTCTTCCTGTAGGTTTATACTAAACATTTGTTCACAGAGCCAGTCAATTTTGTGTTGTACCCTCACCTCCTCCCCTTGCACAGAGTAGCCTTATTGATTAAAATAATGCAAACAACCCATACACTTGTTCTGCTTTTAAAGGTCCATGCAACTAAGCAGCTGCAATCATAGTTTGCACCAACCCCCCCCCCCTCACTTTTGCACAATTCCTTTGAAAGAAAGCAGTCTTGTGGATCCCTTTGTTGACATGGCAAATTCTAAAGCAGTGGTTGACATATCTATGTTTTACTGCATCATCATTTCTTTCTGTGTATTTTATCTGTCTCCTCTTAATCTTAGCTGTTTTCTTTACTATGCTGTTCTCAGGCCTGCACAACTTGGCCGTTGTAAGGGGCTGAAATTAGATAGGGTAAACAGTCCACACTTCAGGAAATAAAGCCCGACTGCTCATTGGAGGGAAGGATAGTAGAGGCCAAGATGAAGTGTTTTGGCCACATCATGAGAAGAAAGGAAAGCTTAGAGAAGACAATGATGCTGGGGGAAATTGAAGGAAAAAGGAAGAGGAGCTGACCAAGGGCAAGATGGATGGATGGGATCCTTGAAGTGACTGGATTGACCTTGAAGGAGCTGGGGGTG